CTGCCGCTCATTACGAGAACACTGTAATTGTTACAAAACAAGTTGAAGATTATTTCTGAACAATGCGAAATTAAAATCATCCTAACAATATGTCATATTCGACTTAGTCTGTCGCTGATTACGAGAAAACTCTAGTTGTTACAAAACGAGTTGGATTTTAATTCAGAACAATGCGAAATTTAAAGCTTCCTAACAATATGTCTTATTACGACTTAGTCTGCCGCTCATTACGAGAACAATCTAAATGTTACAAAATGAGTTGGATTTTCCTTCCGAACAATGCGAAATTTAAAGCTTCCTAACAATATGTCTTATTACGACTTAGTCTGCCGCTCATTACGAGAACACTCTAATTGATACAAATCGAGTTGGAACTTACTTCAGGCCAATGCGAAATTTAAAGTTTAATATAATATGATTTATTTCGACTTAGTCTGCGACTCATTAAGAGAACACTAATTGTTACAAAACGATTTGGATTTTACTTCCGAACAATGCGAAATTTAATGCTTCCTAACAATATGTCTTATTTCGACTTAGTCTGCCACTCATTACGAGAACACTCTAATTGTTACAAAACGATTTGAGTCTTACTTCCGAACTATGCGAAATTTAAAGCTTCCAAACTATATGTCTTATTTCGATTAGTCTGCTGCTAATTAAAAGAAAACTGTAATTGTTACAAAATGAGTTTTTATCTTACTTCCGAAATATACGAAATTAAATACTACCTATCAATATGTCTTATTTCGAATTAGTCTGCCGCTCATTACGAGAACACTGTAATTGTTACAAAACAAGTTGAAGATTATTTCTGAACAATGCGAAATTAAAATCATCCTAACAATATGTCATATTCGACTTAGTCTGTCGCTGATTACGAGAAAACTCTAGTTGTTACAAAACGAGTTGGATTTTAATTCAGAACAATGCGAAATTTAAAGCTTCCTAACAATATGTCTTATTACGACTTAGTCTGCCGCTCATTACGAGAACAATCTAAATGTTACAAAATGAGTTGGATTTTCCTTCCGAACAATGCGAAATTTAAAGCTTCCTAACAATATGTCTTATTACGACTTAGTCTGCCGCTCATTACGAGAACACTCTAATTGATACAAATCGAGTTGGAACTTACTTCAGGCCAATGCGAAATTTAAAGTTTAATATAATATGATTTATTTCGACTTAGTCTGCGACTCATTAAGAGAACACTAATTGTTACAAAACGATTTGGATTTTACTTCCGAACAATGCGAAATTTAATGCTTCCTAACAATATGTCTTATTTCGACTTAGTCTGCCACTCATTACGAGAACACTCTAATTGTTACAAAACGATTTGAGTCTTACTTCCGAACTATGCGAAATTTAAAGCTTCCAAACTATATGTCTTATTTCGATTAGTCTGCTGCTAATTAAAAGAAAACTGTAATTGTTACAAAATGAGTTTTTATCTTACTTCCGAAATATACGAAATTAAATACTACCTATCAATATGTCTTATTTCGAATTAGTCTGCCGCTCATTACGAGAACACTGTAATTGTTACAAAACAAGTTGAAGATTATTTCTGAACAATGCGAAATTAAAATCATCCTAACAATATGTCATATTCGACTTAGTCTGTCGCTGATTACGAGAAAACTCTAGTTGTTACAAAACGAGTTGGATTTTAATTCAGAACAATGCGAAATTTAAAGCTTCCTAACAATATGTCTTATTACGACTTAGTCTGCCGCTCATTACGAGAACAATCTAAATGTTACAAAATGAGTTGGATTTTCCTTCCGAACAATGCGAAATTTAAAGCTTCCTAACAATATGTCTTATTACGACTTAGTCTGCCGCTCATTACGAGAACACTCTAATTGTAACTAACTCTATCAACAAAGCTCAGGGCCAAACCTTCAAAAGAATTGGCATTTATTTGGAACAAGATGCTTTCGTACATGGAGGAATCTACGTCGCATTTTCACGTGCACCAAGCGACAATTGTGTATTTGTTTATCTAAAAAAGGGACGAAAAACTAATCTCATTAAAAACGTTGTCTATAGAGGAATATTGAACGAACAGAGTATGAGTGACAGGAGAACACAAGACATTAAAATAAAAGAAGGAAAGCGAAAACTTGAAATTAATCTTGACGAAATTGAAAGTGAAACAGTTGAACATGCAGTTAAACGTGTAAACGTTGAAGGGAAAAAAAGAACAACAACTCATGAAGAAAATGAACAACCTATACGAAGATTGAAGTGGAATGAAACGACGATTACACGTGAATTTGTACCAACTGTCGAAAATTTGAAACTCGAGAATGCCAATGGATCAGACTGCTTTTTGATTTCCTCACTACGTTCGTTGAAATTCTAAAAGAAATTCTATTAAATCAATAAGACGGCGACAACAATTGTGCAAATTTGATCTCTGAGATTGCAAACGGATACAGTCATCCTCAAAACTTACATAATGTCATTTCAATACGACAAAAACTGAAAGAACATTTGAGAAGAGGTTTTCAAAGTGTGTCCGAAACGATCTACAACATTTTCGAGGAATTACCAATTGAAATGCAAAACATGTTTGACTATCAGACGGTGAATACGAAAACATGTAGAAATGGTCATCAACTTCAAGAACGTTATAGAAACCAAATATTGGTAATGAACTTACCACAAACAAACGTGACAAACTTCAGAGACTTATTGGAGTATCAAACCAAAACAGATGTGAACGGAACGTGTACGGAATGTAAACAACACTACGTACGTGGAACGACAGATATTGTTGTTGGTGACCGTCAAAAGTACATGATTTTGGAAATAAATAGATTAACTCTAAATGGAGTACGCACATTTAAAATAATGAGAATGAGACAAAACAACCAATTAATGTAAGGAAAACATTGGAAATTGCAAAGTGCGGTCGAATTTGTGGACATTAACGGTACTGGAAACGACGGACATTTTAAGGCATGGCGACGTTATAACGATGAATGGCTTATCTTCGACGATAATCACATTACAAAATCTAGAAAATTTATTGATAAATGTAAAAGTGTAACACTCTTATTATTCGAAAAAATCATAGAATAAAAAATGTTACTTCATTTGTTTACTCTATTTTGTTGTGTTGGTATATTGCCTTCAAAAATTCCCTTCCGTTATTTCTCATAGTATTTTCACAGAAACAATACGTCTTCATCGAATAATATATCGTAGAAAGCTGACTGACCAAGAACATTTGGCCTTTGAATAGCGACGTAAAAACTTAAACATCAGACCTATCTAACAATTAAAAAAAGCGAAGGGAAAATATTAACAAAAGAAGGAAAGCTAAGTAAGACTTATATTGATAAACGTAGAAAAACGTATTTAACAAGAACAGAAGGGAGAAAAACAGACGAACATTTGCAAGGGTGGAGTTGGACGTAGAAATTTGACTAACCAAGAACAGCGAGGTAAAGAAGTAAAATATCAGATTAGAGAATGCGCTCCGAAAGGAGCGCGTTGCTCTAGTTGTTCTATAATTTGAGAACATTGAAATATTCGAGTTTTTAATTTCCAGCAATCGATAATAGAACTCATACGATGCCGTAACCTAGACAACTTGCACTCGTCACTATGCATCACCTTCTGCGCAGACGTCCCATTAACCTAACCTAACCTAACTCAACCCTATAGCGGTAATCTGCGTCAGATGAGCATGACGACCTGCGCACGAATTTTCGACAAAAACATGGATGGTCGGAAATTGCTGAAACTTTGTATGGACGTCGTCCCACAGGTAACTAATAAAATTTCATACTCTTTCGTGTCACAACACTTGTAATAAATTCACACGCAGTTATCAAATTCCCGAGGTGGAAGAAACGCGAAATCGGCCACGATCACCAACTTCCGACATTATCAACAAGGAATTACGCACAAAAACGTTTCTTTATGTTTTTTAACTGGTGCCTATACGTGCACAGATAAATCATAAGACTAAAAAATGCACAAAATGAGTGTAAAAATATTTTTATGGCGAAGAAACTGATAGTGACTAAGGTTATGTAAGCGCGTTGTAGCTTAATACGTAAGGAATCGTTCACAGAAATCACTATACGTAAATGAGGGGATTAAAGAACATTTCACCTATACTCTTTGTCTTGAACATAGTCAGAACGTAGCTGCGGACAAGTCACCGGAAACCCCGGAAGACCTGCGCCTCAGTGTCTCCTCCGTCGAGGAAGCGAATCCCGGCTGGGAACCGGGTCTCGTGGCTAGGGGCTTCACCGTCCCGCTCGGCGGTTTCAACGCGGCGCCTCTCTCCTCTCTGGGGAAAGTGGACACGGGGGGAATTCTGCGGCGCCTTCTTGTCCCTCGCATATTTACCCTCAGCTCAGCGGTACGAGGAATCCACCTCAGCGGCCGCCCATTTAACGGGTCGCCCGGCCACTACCACGGTGCACGCCGCGATGACCTCAGCATGGTTAAGTTGCCGGCCGCTGGCATCGACGTGATCGCCCGTGGAGGCAGTGAGTTTATCCACATGGCCTTGGGCGAAGAGAGACTTCGACTGGGCGGTCAGATGCGGGGACCCGGCTCCGAATATTAGCCCTGGCGCCGGGCGCCAAGTGGCACGTTCCACCGAACAGCCCGAGTCGGACGTGTCCAAGTCATTGGCTCTCCGCTTGTCCGCGGTGGCTCTCGGTGCATTGTGGGAAGCACGAACCAACCCACATCCCAACATACGTTTCAGACCTGCTTGAGATAACTGGACTGGCCAGTGAGTCGATCGCCCAACCCTTTGTCCGCGACGGAATTCACGGTTTCCAGTCTTCTCTCAGCGATGATATCCGCCTTCAGCTTCCTCAGGACGGCCTGGGAAAGCTCGGCGAAGTGGCCCCTGAGAAAGACCAATTCCTTCTTGTCCATTCGCAGACAGTAAATACAACGAGATGTTGCCCGTTCCGGTGCTCGCAGGGTTCTCTCAATCCGCGAAGAATATTCTCCTCCTCACCAATCACTCTGACTATCTCATCATCACACAATTGCATGATTAATATTAGAACGTAATGATTGGGGCCCCACCCCGCCCCAATCTGTGGTTGCCAACCTAAATTTCTAATGCAACCTCCAATTACGTCGACGGCGCATTACAAAACGGAATACTCATGAGGGCGGCAACAACTAGCTTAGCCCACATGTCGCTCGATCCTTCGCCTACAACACATCTGACCTTTCTACAGCCCCCAGTATCATCCGTTGCACACTCTGAAAACTGTAACAACACCGTTAACACAATTGCATCGGTTGTGTTTGATTTCACTAGATCAACGAGGGAGGCTTCAACATTTAAATTGGCAATGGATTCCTCTCCCAGGCTCTAATATACGCTCGTTCTAAGGAACCGTGAGCAACCTACGCATTATTCGCGTGTTTAAAATATTTGAAATATTAATAATGCAAGCATAATTAATATGAAAATAACATATTCGCAAGTTATGAAATTAGAGAATTCAGAAACCTAATTTCTTGTCACATTTTTGACTTGCAAATCGTCAGAAAGTTTCTAAGAATGGCAAGAGCATAGAGAGTGTTCTATGTAGAAATAACACAGGTTTCCAAGTACCCTACCAAATATGGTATAGTCGGCGTGGAGTCCGATTACGCTGGCGGGACGAAAGGTTGTCGAACACCCACAGGATGAAAGTTTCCTCCCCCTGCCTCTATATGTACAGCAGATCAGCATCCCAAACATTGGTAAATATCTTTAAAATATCTGGAAAATTAGCAATATTTGCATAATTCAAATAAAAGATAGAACTATCAGTTATTTTCAAAATAAAATTTAAAAATACCTACTCAAAGATATTTGCTTTGTAAAAAAATCCTAAATTAGATAAGAGCCACATAAATGTAAATACCACGATATACATATCCCACAGCCTTCCAACAGGTCTATCCAACACATTTCAGTCGGAATTGTGTTTGTTTTCACTGAATTCACGAAACAGGCTCGAAAACCTGCAAGGCCAATGGATTCCACCTTCAGCCTCCAAATTTACAAGGGATCATGGGATCTGAGAGCATCCAATACTTTTTTCATACGACTCAAATATCTGAAAAATTATAAAAATTAGCGTATTTCATATGGAGTTAAGTTCTACAAAGCAGTATCAAATTAAATAATTCATATAATAAAGCTTCTCAAAATTCCTTTTCTGGAAAATCATCCGTAAGTAGATATGAACCAAAGTTGTTAAAACTTTTTGTTGTTCGTATAACAGCGATTCAATCAAATATAGCTGATTTGGTGTAATGTCCGATTACGCTTAACGAAGGATCGATGCTCGAATATCTACAGGGGGAATGGATTCCTAACTTAGCCTCTACATGTGCACCGGATCTCGAAACCCGTGACCATCAAATACGTTGGTGCAATGGTGTAGATAAGAAAATTTCTTTGAGACGTAGAAATTTATATACTAAGATCACGATCAACACAAAGGTGTTATTCATTTAAACTAGCCTTGTAAATATACAGCTCGAAACTTACAATTTGTTCTTCGCCACAAATTTACAACTTGGAGTTTATAATAATGACACAAAATAACGAAGATTCTAACGGTGCTTCCATGCTCCAAACGTCAGCAAAAACGCACATTCAAATTATACACAGGAGAAACTTCCCAGTTTAAATCCAAGCATGTTTTAAAAGACCTGTCGATAAATTTCACATCATCTAGCTTTTCAATTTGCTTAGATACATCCTTCAGTGCTACAGTGGCACATGAATAGTAGGGTCTACAATTTATGCTGTAACGGCCTTGCTTGCATTGCGTGCTCGGCCGAGTGCACTGTTGGTGTGGGATAGAGATAGCGTGTTATTCCCGTGAGTCACGGCGAATCAGTTTCAGTGCCGCTAGTAACAGCGAACTACGAATATTTCTCGTCACTAATACATGTTATTACATTAATTGTTCTTACCTTAAATCACAAAAGATGTTCAAAGTGACTTCCTTCTGCTTGCAGGCAAGCTTCACATCTCGTTAACATATTTCTAAACACTCGACGAAGCTCTTCTGGGGTATTTGCCGAAATCAGTTGTCGAATATTTTCTTTAAGTTCTTCGGCAGTGTGCGGATTGTAATTTTTTTTATTAATCTCTCTATCGTGGGCCTGCTAGGAACACTTTCACCGGGAAAATGTCTGCGATATTTACGGCGGCATCTTCCGTAGGATGAATATTTGGCATATGTTTCGACTAAGAACACACGTTGCTTAATACTGTACACCATATTATCAACGTCAATCCGCGACGAGAGACGCAATGAAACTGATTCGCCTGTGACTCACGGGAATAACACGCTATCTCTATCCCACACCAACAGTGCACTCGGCCGAGCACGCAATGCAAGCAAGGCCGTTACAGCATAAATTGTAGATCCTATATAGAAACTGGGAAGAATGTCGCTCCTCCCAACGTCAGCATCGGCGACTGTAAGCATTTGCAAATAAGCCCATACAACATCAAAAACGATCACACTCACACGGAGGACACTAAAGAACGAATTTCCTCATATACATTACAGGACAAATTTGAGTTACTAACTACTATCGCAATTAGGTCTGAAGATGTCATTCCATACACAAAAGCATACAATCGTTAAAGAACTGTTGCAGTGGATCGACATTAAATTCTTAATTGTAACATGAAATTGATTCTGAAACGTAAACTTAATACAACGTAGTTCACCTTTACACAGTTACATTACTAATTTTAGAACGTAGTGATTTTGGCCCCACCCCGCCCCAATCTGTGATTGCCAACCTAAATTTCTAATGCAACCTCCATTGAATTTTATCGAAGCATCACGAAATAGAATAGTCATCTGAATTAGCCTAAATGTCGTTCGACCGTCCTCATACAACACTTCTGACATTCGACGGCGCAAGTAGCCCTAACATCGCCTGTCCCACCCTCTGACAACTGCAGAACGGTTAATAAATTTTTATCGGTTGTGCAACAAATACACTGGAGAATTATACGGTATATAAACGCAAGAACCTACGCAACATCAGCTTAAAATTATAACGAATGTTATATATGGAAACATGAAAAACATTTCCAAATTTGGCATATTAAATGTGAAATTAAAAATTTCTAATTTAAATAAAAAATTCAAGACTTTTCTAAAGCCATCCAAAATTAGCTAAGAATCACATACACCTAAAACTCATTAATGGCCCAAACACGAAGCCTACATAAAGTAGATGAAATGTAGATAAGTCGTCTTAGTTACTGATTTTAACGACTCGGCGAACCAGGTTGGAACCAAGAAGAGACCAATGGATATCTCGCTCAACGTTTTTGAAGATCGGATCTGTGGACACGTTAGAATCAGCCGATTTTAATAGGTGAAAAATTAACCGTATTAGTAGACTTCATATAAAATTAAGTACTTTCGAGAATTTCCAAATTAAGAAATTAAAGAAGCTAACCTTCAACGACGATTTTGGCATGCAAATCGTTAAAAAGCAGCGAGGAATCATAGTAATATAGACATTTTTGAAGTACAAATCAAGCTGACTTCCAACAAGTCCACCAAACATGGATCAGTCGGCTTAGTGTCTGAATACGCAGAATGGACGATTGAGACTCGAACACCTCGGAGTTGCATGAACAAATGCACGTTAATTTGCATGGCGGTCAGCTCCTCACTGATCCCCGCTTCGGGCATGCACGTGCCCAACTTTTTAATCAACAGTCGCAAGCATCGATCCTGGGGAGGGAGAATGTGTGAAACCTCACACTCTCGATCCACACCGAGAGATCGCAGGGCCCTGAGAGTGTCCCGGGAGCCGTCGCCGGTCTCGGGCACAAAGGTTATTATGTTACACTTCATCTGATCCACGAACTCGCAGGCCGAATCCGCTGCAGGAAGCTGCGGGTGTTTTGTCCCCGAGACGTACACCGTGGATTTGTTCCGGCGCTCCCTAGGAGCCCGTTTGTTCACTTGGTCGTGGGTAGCGGTGTCACAAGACGTGACGGTCAGAGGCCCGGATAATTCACCGGAAGCCCAATACAACGTAGTTCACCTTTACACAATTATATTACTAATTTTAGGACGTAGTGATTGGGGCCCCACCCCGCCCCAATCTGTGATTGCCAACCTAAATTTCTAATGCAACCTCCATTGAACTTCTCAAAATTCATTTTTTGGAAAATCATCCGTAAGTGGAACCAACCAAGCAAAAAGCTAACTAAAGGCGGAGGGTAGCGCAAGCGCAGGCATAGTCCCTTGCTAGGTGACACCATTCCTGCGTATGAAACGCATTGATGGAAATGGTACACGTTCTTAAACTAAAAATGGAAATTATGCTAACGCTAACGGGGTTTCGTCGTGGCGGGGGCACGAAAATTCAAACTGCGTTGTGTGTGTAGGGAGCCATGGTTGAGGAACCCGTCCCGTAGATCAAGCATTAATTTCTGTTGGCGTAATCACGCAGGAGCGAGCCCCTAGCAGAGATCAGCCTAGAATTCCAGTTCTTGTGCTTCGTGTTAAGGTCACCAGCCAGTACGACCGGCAAAATCCCGCTCAATCACTCGGTCAGGTCCGACTCAATCCAGGGCCGGGTGGGTGCGAGTTGTGCTGCCACGAGCTTGACTTTCCTGGTTGCCAGCACCAGGTGAATGGCGGTTGCTGCAGACCCGAGACCGGCACAGGGTAATGATCAATGCCCCTGCGGACAAGGATCGCTGTGCAGCCCCCCAGCGTCGGGCGGTCCGTACGGTGGCAAACGTAGTTCGCAAAC